GGGGATGCGTCTGCCTGCCGCCCCCCCTGCCTGTGTTGCTGCCTGCACCGCTGCCTGCACCGCTGCCTGCGCCGCGCAGCATCTCGCCGAGGTCCCACCCCGCTGCGTCTCGCCTAGCAGCACCCAGCGTCCGCTGGTGAAGGCGCTCTGCGCCGTGGCGATGCACGCCAGATGCACTTCGTCTCCGTTTAACGAAAATATAATTAGCGTCAGCACAGCGTGTTGTATCCAAGTTCTGTTTGGCGCTGGGGCTCGCGTGCCTCGCGGAGCGAAGCAAAGCTCTTGGGGCTTGTCCCTCCCCGCAAACAAACCTCCCCCTGTACCCCAAGCTCTGAAACGGGGGTGTCAGCTCCACGGAGCCGGGCGCCCCAGCCCCTGCCCTGTGTTTGCCCCGGGCAGGTGGTCCTTCGGCGTGCTGCTCTGGGAGATCTTCACGCTGGGCGGCTCGCCCTACCCCGGCGTGCCGGTCGAGGAGCTCTTCAAGCTGCTGAAGGAAGGCCACAGGATGGACAAGCCCAGCAACTGCACCAACGAGCTGTGAGTGCGGCACTGCCCGGGGAGGGAGGGGGATGCCAGCACCCCAGTGCCCCCCGCCCAGACGGGGACCAGCTCCGCTTCCCCTCCCTGCGCCCCCGGAGCTGGGGGCTGCAGCGGCCGCGGGGTCGGGACCCTCTGGGTGCAATCACCCGAGCCAGGGCGCAGGCAGGGGGCCCGGGGGGGGGTCAGGCAGATGTTCAGAGCTCCCAGCCCTGCGAAAACATCAGCTCAATCTGTTTGCAATAATCAACGTCTCCCTTTGTTATTGCTTGGCAGGCGCGAATCCCAGGATGACCCCAGAGCAGGGACTAGCTTAGCCCCCCGAAACAGCCCCAGCGGTGGCCAGGAGGGCGGGCAGGGGGTTCCCTTCCACCCACCCAGGGCATTAACCCTAAATCCCTGGAGGACATTAACCCTAAATCCCCGGGGGAGCGTCTTTGCTGGCTGCAGGTCCCAGCCCGAGCGCTGGTTCAGAGCTCCCAGCCCTGCGAAAACATCAGCTCAATCTGTTTGCAATAATCAACGTCTCCCTTTGTTATTGCTTGGCAGGCGCGAATCCCAGGATGACCCCAGAGCAGGGACTAGCTTAGCTCCCCAAAACACCCC